TGCTATGAACATAGGGGTGCATATATCCTTTCTGATTGGTGTTTCTGGTTTCTTGGGATATATTCCTAGAAGTGGGATCACAGGGTCAAATGGGAGTTCCATTTTCAGTTTTTTAAGGAAACTCCATACTGTCTTCCATAGTGGCTGCACCAGTCTGCATTCCCACCAGCAGTGCACAAGTGTTCCTTTTTCTCCACATCCTCTCCAGCACTTGTCGTTTGTTGATTTGTTGATGATAGCCAGTCTGACAGGTGTGAGATGGTACCTCATTGTTGTTTTGATTTGCATCTCTTGGATGATTAGTGACTTTGAGCATGTTTTCATATGTCTCTTGGCTTTCTGAATGTCCTCTTTTGAAAGGTGTCTATTTAGGTCCTTTGCCCATTTTTTGATTGGATTGTTTATCTTCCTTTTGTTAAGTTGTATGAGTTCCCTATAAATTTTGGAGATTAGGCCCTTATCAGATATGACATTGGCAAATATGTTTTCCCACACAGTGGGTTTTCTCGTTGTTTTGTTGATGGTTTCTTTTGCTGTGCAGAAGCTTTTTATTTTGATGTAGTCCCATTTGTTCATTTTCTCTTTAGTTTCAAGTGCCCTAGGAGCTGTATCAGTGAAGAAATTGCTTCGGCATATGTCTGAGATTTTGTTGCCTTTGGATTCTTCTAGAATTTTTATGGTTTCCTGTCGTACATTTAAGTCCTTTATCCATTTTGAGTTTATTTTTGTGTATGGTGTAAGTTGGTGGTCTAGTTTCATTTTCTTGCATATATCTGTCCAATTTTCCCAACACCATTTATTGAAGAGACTATCTTGGCTCCATTGTATGTTCTTGCCTCCTTTGTCAAATATTAATTGAGCATATTGGTTCGGGCCGATTTCTGGGCTCTCTATTCTATTCCATTGATCTATATGCCTATTCTTGTGCCAGTACCAGGCAGTTTTGAGAACAGTGGCTTTGTAATACAACTTGATATCTGGTATTGAGATCCCACCTACTTTGGTCTTTTTCAGGATTGCTGCAGCTATTCGGGGTCTTTTTTTATTCCAGATGAATTTTTGGAGAGTTCGTTCTAGATCTCTGAAGTATGCCGTTGGTATTTTAATGGGAAGTGTGTTGAATTTATAGATTGCTTTGGGTAGTATGGACATTTTAATGATGTTGATTCTACCAATCCATGAACACGGTATGTTCTTCCATCTGTTTATGTCTTCCTCTATATCTTTTTTCAACGTCCTGTAGTTTTCTGAGTAGAGGTCTTTTACCTCTTTAGTTAAGTTTATTCCTAGGTAGCTTAATTTTTTTGGTGCGATGGTAAATGGGATTGTTTTTATAATCTCTCTTTCTGAAAGTTCACTATTGGTGTATAGAAATGCCTGATTTCTTGGGGTTAATTTTGTATCCTGCTACATTGCCAAATTCATGTATTAAGTCTAGTAGCTTTTTGATGGAGTCTCTAGGGTTTTGTATGTATAATATCATGTTGTCTGCAAATAAGGACAGTTTTACTTCCTCTTTTCCAATTTGGATGCCTTTTATTTCTTCTTCTTGCCGAATTGCAATGGCTAACACTTCCAGTACTATGTTGAACAGGAGTGGTGAGAGGGGGCATCCCTGTCTTGTTCCTGTTCTTAGGGGAAATGGTGTTAGTTTTTGTCCATTGAGTATGATGTTGGCTGTGGGCCTGTCATATATGGCTTTTATTATGTTGAGGTATGATCCTTCTACTCCCACCTTGCTGAGAGTTTTTATCAAAAACGGGTGTTGAATTTTGTCAAATGTTTTTTCTGCATCAATTGATATGACCATGTGGTTTTTTTCTTTCAATTTGTTTATGTGATGTATCACGTTTATTGATTTGCGGATATTGTACCATCCTTGCATCCCTGGGATAAATCCTACTTGGTCATGGTGTATGATCTTTCTGATGTACTGCTGGATCCGATCTGCTAAGATTTTGTTGAGGATTTTGGCATCTATGTTCATGAGGGATATTGGCCTGTAATTCTCTTTCATTGTGTTGTCTTTACCTGGTTTTGGTATTAGGGTGATGCTGGCTTCATAGAATGAGCTTGGAAGTGTTCCTTCCTCTTGAATTTTTTGTAGTAGTCTGAGGAGGATAGGTTTTAGTTCTTGGAAAAATCAATTCTTAAAGAATTCCAAATGTTTGGGATGTTCAGCCTCCCATGATAAATTACTTTAAAAAATTACATTTAGAATTGAAAAATAATGTGCTTGCTTAACAATTCACTCCAAAAGCTTTCTGGTTGACCTGGTGTACATCACAGAAGGAAGTTCACTGCATAGGAGGATGGTGCTGAACTTGGTACCTGCTGGGACCGGGGCACAGAGCACACAGCACACGCAGCTGGGGTCCTGTGGGAAGGTCACAGCTGACGCATGGTTGCTGCGGCTGGGAAAACCCAGACATGAACCTGCAAGCACTTCTCAGGAACAGCCATCTTGCTGGTGACAAGCTCATGATAATAAAGTATGATGCAATCATTCAGAGAAAATGTTCCATCATGCTTCCTGTGATGAGTTTTTAACAATAAAGCAAAACACCACAAACTGAAAAAGTTAAAGTCAATGAATGTCACATTAAGCCACATCATTTCCCTTTCGACTTGGTTTTGAATTCAACTTCCCATTTATTTTAAAGCCAGTCTTCCTGTGAAGAGGTGACTAGGAAATGGAGCAATTGACTCTGTGGCTTCAGCAGAGACCTTAAATGCCTCCATGCAGCCGGGCATGCATAAGACAGGAGCTGGAGATATGAAAATGTAGGGTCCTGCCACTCAAAATGTGGTCCCTGGGTCAGCAGCAACTGCACAGCCTAGGATGTCCTCTGAACCCTGGGCCCCACCCCAGAACTCCTGTATTAGAATCTAACATCTGAACAAGATCTCCAGGCCCTGTGTATATTAAAGCTTACTAAGTACTTATCCTACCTAATAAAAGGCTAATATGCAAATCAACCGAACGGTGGAACAATCGGTTGCTATGATGCGCACTGACCACCAGGGGGGAGACACTCAACACAGGAGCTGTCCCCTGGTGGTCAGTGTGCTCCCACAGGGGGAGCGCCACTCAGCCAGAAGCCGGACATCCCTAGAGGGGTCCCGGACTGCGAGAGGGCACAGGCTGGGCTGAGAAACCCCTCCCCTTCCTCCCCCGCACCGTCCCCTGCATGAATGTCATGTACTGGGCTTCTAGTAACAGCATAATAGTCGATGTTCCTCTCCTGGCTGCTTAGCACCATGGAGGCCATGGTGAGTGAGTGTGCATACTTGTGATTAGGAAGAAGGACCCTTAGGTTCTAGTCTCAGGTTTATCACTGAACATCCCGCTTTCCCACCTATTACACTCTACCAGCCCTGCCTACCTTGCAGGACTGCTGGGAGGACCAAATGGGATTTCTGCTAACAAACCCATTAGTGATTTAGGCCCAGCCTGCCTCTCCGGTTTTATCCTGCACAATTTCACACATTGTGTTCTAGCCACACTGACTGCAAGCAGAGCCCATTTCTGCTTCAAGGCCTTGTCCAAGCTGCCTTCTCTGCCTGGCATGGCCTTCCTTTTGATCTGTGTGTGCCTGGCTCCTTCTTGGTGATTCAGATCTCAGCCTATTACAGGGAGATTCACTGAACTCAGTGAGAACCTCTCAGACCACCCAATCTAGTCACTCTTCCTGAGGCATCTTTTCTAATTCTCTGTAAGGCATTTACCACCATGTGAGCAGGGACAGTTCCTATCTTATTCTGGGTTGAAGCCTCAGTGCCTTGAACCGTGCCTGTCACACTAAATGCTCAATACACATTTGTTAAGATGACTAGAGAAGGTAAAAACATTCTGGAAAAAATAAGCTACTACATAAAATATAAAATGCTTTATTTGAGGATATGTTTTCATTGATTTTTAGAGAGGGAAGGAGAGAGAAACATTGATAGGTTGCCTCCCATATGCACCTTGACCATGGACCGAACCCACAACCTAGCGAGGTATGCTCCTTGACCAGGAATCAAACCCACAATCTTTTGTTGTACGGAATGATGTTCCAACTGAGCTGGGCTCAGGGCTAAAAGGCTTTTATTAATGAAACCATCCTGCTTTCATTTGGCAAGTTCTCTTGGAAATCATAGCGATATTACATTGATTACTCTAAAAGCCTATACCACATAAATAAAAACCGCCTGCCTTTTCATTAAGCAAGAAAAGACTGGAATGCAGACTGCTTTTTATGTTTCGAGGGAAGACAATTCATTCACTGTTCACATCCCTTCTTCAGGCATCAGGGTGATAATCTCCATTCGCATCAATTTAATGTCATCTGTTTCCCCTGATAAAGTAAAGCTTAGAAAAGAAAATCTGCTACTGCAGTCACAATACAGGGTATTAATGCCATTCTGCTAACAGCGCCTTGGCCAAGGATGACCAGATGGCCTGGAGCTGGCTTGGCGAAGCTGCCTGAGGTTCCGGGAAGGCTGCAGGTCAGCAGCAGGGAGAACATACTGTGTTAGACTAAAAGCCGAGAACTGTTCCCCGGCTCCTTCTGCCACGAAGCTGAAACTTAATGACTTATTGGTTTAGTTGTGACTCTGTTAAGCAAGACAGAAATTGGTTTGATGACCAATGTTAGAGGTTCCAAAGGTTTATACAATTTAGAGACACATCAGAGAAGAAGGTCACAGCTGTTTTCTTTCATCTATTTACACTCCTTCCACTAGGAATGTTAAATGAATTCTCCTGCCGCCACCAGGTCAGCGCTAACTACAGTCCCCATATCACAGGCAGTGATGCCTCTTTATGAATTACCTTTGCCTCACTTTCCTTAGTTCAAAAAATATCACAAAGGGCCTGGCTGGCATGGCTCAGTGGTTGAGCGTCGACCTATAAACCAGAGGTTACGGTTCAGTTCCTGGTCAGGGCACATGCCTGGGTTGTGGACTCGATACCCAGGCTGGAGTGTGTAGGAGGCAGCCAATCAATGATTCTCGCCCATCATTGATATTTCTATCTCTCTCCCCCTCCCTTCCTCTCTGAGATCAACAAAAATATATTTAAAGAAAAAAAAACCCCTCACATTTCTACAGTAAAAAATATATTAAAAAAAAATGCCACAAAGGGAAAAGGTGCACAAAGTGAGTCAGTCATGTACTTGCCCAGTACAGACTGAACACCACCTGCTGATTCTACATAAACCGGCAGGAAGTTAGGGCGATGGCACCACCTGCTGATTCTACATAAACCGGCAGGAAGTTAGGGCATGTGCAAGTTAGGAGCCCTGACTGAGTGCCTTCTCAATGCCCAAGTGACTCACAGCACTGCTGAGAAAAGCCTGTTGTCCTTAGACACAGAGTGATATGTGGGGTTTCTAAATATTTTCTCTAAGGTTCCATGTCTTCATTCTTGTTTATTTATTTTTGGTTTTAAATTAGTTGTACAGCTCCAGAAGCAACTAGAGGTGCAACGGTTTTATATCGGATTAAGTGCTGCGAGCCTTCCTCCAAGTCAATCACATAGTCCCTAAAAAAGAAGGAAAAAAATATATGTGCAGAGCTCAGCTGGTGGTCTATCGGGAGAAATATTCCCCACTGTCAAAATCACACACATCACTCACCTCTGCTCATCTGTTTCTGGTTCTACCAGGATGTTTTCTTGTCTTTCTTTCACTCTCAGAAACACATATGAATCTAGATCTGGTTTGGGAACTGCCAAAAAAACAATAATGCAATCAGAAAATCCTCAGCAAACACAACCAATATGGGAAAAGTTGCTGGGATTAATTGTACTGAGCACTTAAGGACCCGTATTGTAAAAGCATTTTGGGGGTAGGATGGTTTGAGGAGAGATCTGGCTTCTAGAAACAGCACACTTCCCACCCAGGTTCCACAGAGCAACCATTCATTCAACAAATGATGAGGACTTCAGACGGGCAGGGAATTCTGCCATGCCTTGTGGAGGACACAGGCAGGCGGAACACATGGTCTCTGGACAAGGTGGTGATAGCAGCATTGGATGGAGCTGCACACGAGTGGCACACTTCCCCAATGATGTGGGGAGGGAGAAGTTGATGTGCGCTTTAAAGGAAAGAGCAGGATTTAAAGAGGAAGCATGACCCTGGTAGGCAATGGCAAAGGCCACGGCAGAAATATGCATGACCTCCTGGGGGGACAGAGTGTGCAAATCTGGTTAGAAAATATTTCTAATATTAAGGAGTAGGAGGAGAGAGTATAGCAAGTCCTCACTTAATGTCGTTGATAGGTTCTGCGACTAAGTGAAATAATATGTAACAAAACCAATTTTACCGTAGGCCAGTGGTCGGCAAACTCATTAGTCAACAGAGCCAAATATCAACAGTACAACGATTGAAATTTCTTTTGAGAGCCAAATTTTTTAAACTTAAACTATATAGGTAGGTACATTGTTATTAACTTAATTAGGGTACTCCTAAGCTGGCCTTTGCTAAAAACGTCCTTAATCTGATTGAGGTATGTTCGCTGAGGTCGACCCCTTCCAACTCTCCCATCCACACTTGTCTTGTACACTTGTTTCGTTCCAAAAACTGAATTCTGCGCATGGGCCATGAAGTTTCAATTGCACTGTACGTGAGCGCCCGCACGTGGTATTTTGTGGAAGAGCCACACTCAAGGGGCCAAAGAACTGCATGTGGCTCGTGAGCCTCGGATTGCCGACCACTGCCGTAGGCTAATGGATATAAACAAGAATTAAGTTCCTATGGCATTTCATCAATGTTATAATGAAGGGACATTGACTGAAATGTTATTCGGAGTCCTGCTATCTTAGAAACACTGGGATATAAAGTGATAGTCTTGAATGATAGCCTAAGTGGTCCCTCACTGGTTGATTACGGATAAAGAAGCTTATTTACAGGAGGGGTTCAGGATAACTGGCTCCAAAGGTCTACGGAGGGCGCCCTGACTGCTCCAGGGTTCTGGGCCTGCCAAAGAGACTCCAACTTCAGGGTGAGTTAACCCCACTAGGAATCTACTGATTCCAGGAAACTCAGCTTAGATTTCAACATGCCTTCCCTCACCGTGCCATCGGGGTCTACAGTGCTCCAGAGGCATGAGGGGGACTCACAGATTCTGGGCTAACAAAGCAAGACTCCAATTCCAAGACTGGCTCTAGTCCCTGTAAGGAATCCAGGACAGCGACATGTGTTCTAGGAGGTGTCCACCAGCATCAAGTAGAAGCTCTGGGACAACGGCGTAGGTCCAGGTCCAGGAATTCAGATGCATGCCCATCAGTAGTCCTATGGCTGCTTTAATCAACTGGTCGCCATAGCAATGGGTAATGATTAGGGATGTGGTCCTTGCTGCATTCCTGTTCTTCTAAGGTGCAGACAAAAGTAGCTGAACTGGACATGGACTGGGCCTTCTGTTTCCCTCAGGCAGGTTCACCAAATGACCAATTCAGAGCTCTACAATCTGGTATGGGTTTGGCTTGTTCCTGGTGTGCACTGTGCCCCCCACCAAATACATGTGCTGAAGCCTAACCCCTAGTACTTGAGAATGGAAATGTGTTTGGTATGGGGCCTTTAAAGAGGCATTTAAGTTGAAATGAGGCCGTTAGGGTGGGGTCTAATCTAATCTGACTGGTGTCCTTATAAGAAGGGGAAGAGACACTCGGGGGTGGGGGGAGGTGCAACGGGGGGGACAGCCATGTGAAGAGGCTGAAAGTGGCCATCTGCAAGCCAAGGACTGAGGCCTCGGAGGAAACCATCCCTGCCAGCACCTTGATCATGGACTTCTGGCCTCCAGATCTGTAAGAAAATAAATGTCTGCTGTTTGAGACCCCCAGTCTGTGGTACATTGTCATCGTAGCCTGAGCTGACTAAGACATCTGGGGAACACATCTCCATGCATCCTGTCCAAGCTCTTCCACCTGCCACAGGGGTCAGTGTGGCCCAGCACAGGTTGGTAGGAGATAAACTGCCAGGGCTCAGTTGTACTTGAACTTGTGGCTTCAGCACACTAAGCTTAGTTTGTGAACAAGGTGGATTCCTGTTCCTGGAGCACTGTTGGATTTGGTTTGGCAATTTTGTCTGACAAGGTCCTGCTCAGATATGGTGAGCTGTGAAAGACAGATACGGACTTTAACCTATACACTAGGGGTCTCCGGTTAGTTGATCCAAGGTTAGGAGTTACTACCATAAGTCCCTCCCCTCAGCAGAATTTTAAGGGGATTCTGAAAAGAGGGCAAGAGGTGGAGGTGTTGGCCATGCTTCACGTCCTCCAGCGCCTCTTTCCCTACCACACTCAGTCCCGTTCCCCATCTTTTCCATAATCAGAGAAACTCTTCACAACGAAAAGATTAGGATCCTCTACTATGGCTAAGAAGGAATCACTGAAGGTTTCCTTAGCCTCCCGTTTAAATCCTCCTTGGAAGCTGGACAGTCCCTGCAGTCTGGCATCTGTGAGGAAGAAACTGCCAGCTCTTTGAGAGCAGAGACCCTGGATCATCAGTGCCCCGAAGGGCCAGCAGAGTGCAGATGCCCACTAGACCACTGGATGACCGCCGAAGGAACAAGTGACTGAATGTGAGCGAGTCTACATCTATAATGGCAGCCAGAAGAATTTCAACCTAACCTTGAAGAACACCTGGCTACTCTTATACCTGCTTTAAACGATTTTCTGTTTTGAACTCAAGACCCTTCTTCTCTTTTCTTTCCAGCTTATCTACATACTTATTTTCATGTTTGAGAGAAAAAGAGTAAAAGTAAAGATCTTATTCTCAAGCACCTGAAGATACTTGGCATGTAAATGATGGCCCCTCCGGATGACTGAAAAGAGAACGTTCTTACCTGATCTTAAGAGGTCCACTTTCTGTAAATTAGGTGGCATATGCTTTAAGGCTACATTCTTTAGATAGGTCTCTATGCTCGCCATGTACCTGAAATACATAAATTAAAATCGCCATGACAACCCAACTGGTAGGAGCCACCAGGACTATCACACAGACAATGGCTCTGAGATCAGTTTTGTGGACACAACCACCAAAACTCATGCTCACAGGCCAGGGAAATAAAGGCAGTGCCCACACTCACTGCTCACTCACTCTTTGGCAAAGGCAAACTCTTCTGGAGAAAGGCGGGAAGGCTCCTCCTCATGGCGTGTTTTCTCCTTTTCAAGGACATGAGGAAAAAACTTCTCTATCTGTGGGATAAAGAAAATCATCATGAAAACACCTGTCAAAACTCAAGTGTCAAACATACTCGTTTTCTTTTTTTAAAAATCTATATTTTTATTGATTTCAGAGAGGAAGGGAGAGGGAAAGGGAGGGAGAGAAACATCAATGATGAGAGAGAATCATTGATTGGCTGCCTCCTGCACGCCCCACACTGGGGATCGAGCCCACAACCTGGGCATGTGCCCTGAATGGGAAATGAACCATGATCTCCTGGTTCAGAAGTTAACGCTCAACCATTGAGCCACACCGGCCAGGCATTAGTTTCCTGAAATAGGTTGAAGTTAATATAAAAATTGACTTCAACAATGGAAAATCTTCCTGTCAAGACTGTTTTTAAAAATAAGACCTATATTCTAGACTGCAAGAAGGTAGGTTTCAAAGAATTCAGAGGAAACATAAGGGCTCTAAAACTAATTAGATGCTTTCTGTGAGAAGCCATGTCCCGTGCGGCTTAGGGTTCGGGATCTAGAGAAGGGCCGCGGGCAAATGACGAGATAAGAAATAATAATTTGAAAATTGGGGGCCAGGCGGAGAGTCCAACACTAGGGGAAGGACTTCGCTGGTGCCCAGGCCCTAACAACCTTTATTCAATTTTGGATACACATATTGCCCTCAGTCAGGCAGGCAATTCCGGTAATAGACAGACTATATCTTAAAGGTCAGTAAATATTAGTAAAGATTTACTTTGAGACTATTTTGTCAGGAAATTGCTTGAGCCACAATTGTCTCAACTAAACAATTGGTGCATAGCTTTGGCCCTTGCCAGAGCTCAAGGTTCACCAGCATTCCGGGATCCTTGTTTATACTTTTCTGATAGTGAAGACAATGGGTAGCTTCCAACAGCTTTTGTAAAAGATAATCTGAAAATACAATTGTAAATGATATTTAAGAGGAAGAAAAGGGTATATTATTTAACATCTTATGTAATTGTACAGGGTGTTCTATGAGATGAAACATATACAAAACCTGGAAAGATGCATACAGAATACAGATGTAGATAGAACAGTGACACTTAATTATAAAAATGTAAACAGCAAGCATAAAGCCTACAATGAGGTAAGGCTTGGAAAAAAATTATAAGAACTACTAGGGGGAAAAATAGCTAAAAGCTACAAAAAGACATGAACCTGGAAGGTCAAAGACATGACCTGTTGTCTGAAGTCAGTGATGTAAGCAGGGAAATGACAGTGGCAAGGAGGAACTGAAGCCCAAGCTAAAGGAGCAGTTATTTATTTATTCTTTTAAAATATATACATATATTTGTATTGATTTCAGAGAGGAAGGGGGAGGGAGGGAGGGAGGGAGGAAGGGAGCGAGGGAGGGAGGGAGGGAGGAGGGAGAGAGAGAGAGAAAAAAAAGATCAATGATGAGAGAATCATTGATTTTCTGCCTCCTGCACAACTAGCACTGGGGATCGAGCCCACAACCCAGGCATCTACACTGACCGGGAATCGAACTGTGCACTCCTGGTTCATAATTCGATGCTGAACCACTAAGCCATGTCGGCTAGGCAAGCAGTTATTTATTTAAAGGAGTAGTAAGTCATTTGGCTTGGATCAATTATGTTCTAGGATAAATTATATTAACATTTATATGGGGCTTAAGTGCACAAAGAACTTTCTCCTGTTATATGTAAATTGCTACTACTACTGTATCACTTAGTATACTAAAAATTTATGTAGTTTCCTAATCTCAGAAGAATTAGTTCTTTTGAAAATTTCCCAAATACAGAAGGTAGGGAATCTACACACACAGATTAGTGTCCTTAACCCTGCTATGTGGCATTATATTAGAAGAGATAATTTAAAAGATGGTTTATGAATTCAAAGAAAAGTAAGTAGTTAACACCAAGAGGATTTATCCAAAAAACCACAGAAAAGGGAGTGGCCTGGTAGTTGAGGGTGTCTCAATATTTTCAAAACATGATAATGTCTTTATGACACCTTTGGGAACAAACTGTAAACCTGGGGCTGGGTGACAGTATAGAGTGGGAGATTCAAAAACAGTTGAACAAAAAATACGGATTCAACGGAGAGATGTCAATGGGTAGGGAAAACCTCTGGTGGAATATCCTATCATTGGCCCAGACCTACTTAAGGAGTCAGGTAAGACGTTTGATGACATACTTATCAAACTTTCGATGACATAAAGTGTTAAGAGAGAGTAATACATTAGGTGACAAGATCAGGATCTAGAGACCATGGAAATGGCCCAATTTAATAAGTTAAGCGTAAGAGGGATAAGTATCAAACCCTACATTCAGGAGTCAAAAATCCAGCCATACAAATACCAGACGGTGACAGGATAAGGTAACAATAACTTAAAAACATCAGATATGGTTAAAGTTAACAATGAGTGCATGTGAGCTCAGTGTGAGGAGTCTCATACATACTAATGTAATACCAGGCAGTATTATTACCATTGTAATATCCAAAATAAGGGAAGTGACCATCCTGCTTTTCACAAACATGACCAAACTACAACTGAAATGTTGTATTCAGTTCAGGTGGTATAATTAAAGAAGGATACTGACCAACTAGAACTTTGTGGGGAAGACCAGGAGAGTAAATGGAAATAAATGGTTGAAACATTTAACTGAGAGGGTTTCAATGAGACTCGTGAACTGTTTTCAGGTGTCTAAAGAATTCTTATAGAGGAGCATGTATTCATTCAGTGATAACTAAGGGGATAAGCAGAGCCAAAGAGAAGAAACTTCAAGAAGAACTTTCTAGGGTTAAAACAGATACCATAAAAATAGAAATGTTCTGCATTTTTACAAGTTAGATGGCTGCAGAGCTCTGGTTGACTGTCAAGGCAGCACTGCCAGGCTGTAAACTCCAGGGGACACCATTCACACAGCCAATAAGTTGGCTAAAAATGTGTTCCCAGAGGGGTGCACCACATGTTCCCTCTATGCTCCAGAACAATCTCTTGTCCTCTTACTCTTTAGCTACCCTGATACTGGACCTCAGCAGCATCTTCAGGGCCTGGACCCTCCCAGGCCCCAGCCCAAGTTTTCCCCAAGATGTTCTGTTTATATTATAGACTGCATTGCATTAATGCCTACAGATATCTCCAAGTCAAACCTTCATGAGCCGACACCGCAAGTAGCTGCTAAGGACATAACGGATCCTCTCTATTTCCATTCGATGGATACTGATCTTCAGGTCCCCCTTCTTTGCTCTCCTGAGATTTTCTTCCTATTAAAAGGTAAAATGAAGTTTATAAAAAACATGATATTCAAAGACTAAGAACCTTCTTTGTTTAATCTACACAGAGCCCACAAGGACCATCATCATTGCCAATGTTGAGAGCTCGAACACTACATTTAGGTCAAAGGAGGACAAAATACTCCCAAGAGTTCTATTTCCTTTTAATTCCTTAATTACACAAATAATATATGACTTCAGTCTTATCACATAAAGTTCAAACAATACTCATTGACATACCTCAGATATATTGTGGGTTTTGTTTCAGACCACCACAATAAAGCGAGACATACTCTTTTTGCTGGTGGGGGGTTGGAGGGTCTTGCCTTCAATTTGTAAAAAACTCAACATATGTGAAGTGCAATAAAACTAGATGTACCTGGCCTGGATGGTGTGGCTCAGTTGTTGAGCACTGGCCCATGAATTAAGAGGTCATGGCTGGATTCCTGGTTGGGGTACACGCCCAGGGAGAGGGCTCGATCCCCAGTGGGGGGCATGCAGGAGGCAGCCAATTGATATTTCTCTCTCACTGATTTTCTATCTCTATATCCTCTCCCTTGCTCCCTCTAAACTCAATAAAAATATATTAAAACACACATATAAACTAGGTGTACCTGTACTTTTAGAACAGTTAAATCAAATCTGAATATGATTGGTCAGAAGGGCCTACAAGAACTCCAACCCAATTGTAAAGGAGATAATACAGCAGGTAGAAGAAATGTCTAAAGTCTAAAAAGTAGCTAAAACATCAATTGAGAAACCATAAAATATCAATGTTTTAAAGCTACTCTGAGGTTGATAATGACTTAAGCCAAGCTCATCTAAGACAAGGGCCATAAACTCACATGTCTGCTGGGAACAGGCAGGTAAGATATAGGAGAAAGGTGAGCAGTTAGGGACTATGGGGCACTGAGACTTCACTGAAAGGGGGAGGCCCTTACCTTGCCTTGGTCAGCTGTTTTCATATAAAAACATGGGGCTGGTGATGATAGGTTTTTAGACTTCTCATGGGAAGCTGATATTCGGATATTCACAGGTACTTTCATGCTTTGTAAATGTAGATAACTAATTCAATACTTAAAAAACAAACTAGACTGGGCCAAACAAAACAGATTTACTATCAGACCTCTCACTATACTGACAAACCCTTTTAATATTCTCCTCCTTTATAACCCTGGGATAAGCAGTTCTTACCATGTGGTCTAGCTGTTCCATGACACATTCCACAATTTCAGGCTTGCTTTCCAGAAGGTCAGGGGCAAACTTTTCATTCATCCAAGCCTAAAAAACAACACCAAAAAAAATTATACACACATACACACACACACTACTCAAAATGGAGCAAAACAACCCTGTAAGTCAGTACATACTCCAAGAAAATCACAGCTGTCTCAGGTTAAGAAAACTGCCTACCAGTTGGAAATACTGGAAATGTGTTGAAGGCAAGCTGTTTAATAACAGTTTTTCCATTTCTTTTAGTAGGAAATTGGGTTTGCAACCTTATATTTAACCAACATTACAAAAAAATCACTGTTCACTTCAAAAATGTTCTCAGAAAACCTGTTGCTGAGAGTAACACCACCTGGTGTTCAAACAGTACCTTTCACCAAGTAGCATCAACACATTCCCTTCACCTGCAATTTCCACCAGAGGGCACTAGCACCTATCTATTTGGGGAGATGCAGTAACACTAATAAATCTATACATCTCTTCATTCTTGAAGCTCAAAGCACTTTGCAAATAGTTTTTGTTCATCATAATATCTGAGAGGAAAAAAAATATAGTTAACCTCATCTTACTGATGAGAAAACACAGATTAAGTTATTTACTAATGTCCAAGAATATAAAGAATGGCAATAGAAGTGGATATTCATCTATTAAAAGCTTTGGAACAAGAGTTTAACTCCCTAATTTATGACTCAGGCACAGATGCTTATGGCATTTCAGAAATTACTATGAAAATTAAAATGAAAATGCCCACAGGTGACTGAGGAAATGTTTACTTATCTTTCAGATACAGAAATTTTAGTTTTAGCACAGCTCAGAATTACATGCCAATTAGGCTCAATTTATTTCTTTGACATCATTGAGTCTCTGCTTCTCCATTTATCACCATCAAGACACATTCTTAAGTACTGGGTATTGCTACTATCATAAATTTTTTCTGGTGCTCAAGCTTCTGTACTAGTGTTGCAGAAGTTACCCAGAAAGACAAGAAGTATAATGAATGAAAGAGCAACTGTCATGGAAAACTTATAAAGAAGTTTTTCTTTTTAACTGACTTTATTAAATATTAATAGTTACAAAATACTTATAAAATACATATGAACATGAAGAACAGTAATATAAATATCTGTGTACATTTAACTTCATTATCAAACATTGTCATTATTTTAAGTTTCTGTGTCCTTCCCTTCTCAGAGGTAATCATTAGCCTGAATTTGGTGTTTAATATTCTGTACAGTTTCCCTACATTTGTTTTTAACTCTTAGTAGTGCTTTCCAACCTTTACATGACAGGGCATAAAAAAAAACAGTTGTCATTAAAAAAAAAAAAATGATAGTGCTGGTACCATACACTGAGGTAAAATGGATTAGATTTGGGGATGAGATTTCTCATTTACATTATGAAATTATGATAAAATATAAAACAGGGGAAAAATATTAGTATAAAACTTTAAAATAAAATCTTTTCAAAATTTCAGTAAGAAACTTGTGTTTAAATCCATGGTCATTTTTTTAAACTAATTAGGTTCTATATTTTAAATGGCAACATCTGGTTCTCTCTCTTTTTTTTTAATCCTCACCCGAGAATATTTTTCCATTGATTTTTAGAGAGAGCAGAAGGGAGGGGGAGAGACAGAGAAACACTGATGTGAAAGGGAGACACTGATTGGTTGCCTCCCACATGCGCCCCTAAATAGGGCTGAGGATTGAGCCTGCAACTGAGGTACGAGCCCTTGACCAGAATCGAACCTAGGACCTTTCAGTCCGCGGGCCAACGCTCTATCCACTGAGGCAAACTGGCTAGGGCTACATCTTGTTCTTGATCAAAATTTTTAATAATAATCTGTTCATGTTGTGGGCTAAAGTGTGTCTCCTTCTACCCCTCATTCATAGGTCGAAGTCTTAACTCCTTGTATCTTAGAATGTGACTGTATTTGGAGACTGGGTCTTTAAGTTAAAATGAGGTCATTTACGTGGACCCTGATCCAATATGACTGGAGTCCTTTGAAGAGGGATACACTTGAACACAGACACACAGAGGGAAGCCATGTGAAGACACAGGGAGAAGACGACCATCTTCAAGCCTAGGAGATAGGCCTCAAAAGAAATCAACCTGTTGACTGTATCAATTTATATGCTCACTGCAGTATACAGTGCGTATTTCCCAATCAGCAGCACCTTGATTTTAGACTTCTTGCCGCAGTTGAGAAAATAAATTTCTGTTCTTTAAGCCACCGTCTGTGGTACTCTGACATGCAGTCTTAGCAAACTAATACAATCATTAAAATGAAAAACTATGCACTGTAGGTAATAACGTTTACGTCAGTTTTTACAGACATTCAGGAATACCCCATATATCAATGGTTCTCAACCTTCCTAATGCCGCGACCCTTTAATACAGTTCCTCATGTTGTGGTGACCCCCAACCATAACATTATTTTTGTTGCTACTTCATCACTGTAATTTTGCTACTGTTATGAATCGTAATGTAAATATCTGATATGCAGGATATATTTTCATTGTTACAAATTGAACATAATTAAAGCATAGTGATTAATCACAAAAACAATATGTAATTATATATGTGTTTTCCGATGGTCTTAGGCGACCCTGTTAAAGGGTCGTTCGACCCCCAAAGGGTCGAAACCCACAGGTTGAGAACCGCTGCCATATGTACTCCTGGAGCTGTGTTTATCAGTGGCCCTTGTCAGGGTGCTTCTTAGGCTATGCAGCCTCAGTCTGTGTCCAGCTGCAACAGCTGTCCAGGTGGTGGACCAACTCCCTGGCTGCACTCAGGGCACTGCAGGAGAGCATCAGGCCAGAGGAACAAGTCATGCTCGCCCACTGCCAAGCTGAGGCTGTGCTGGCAGATGCCACTATCCTCAGGCTGCCTTCCAGGAGCCCTGATGACACCCAGCCTGGTGGCTCTGGCTGCCCGGGAGTGAAGGGTCAACATCACTGAGGCACCTGCAGCACCAGTGTGTGCCACATCACCCAAGCTGACAAGCTCTTCCTTCAACAATCGTTTTGAAGTATTTGAATTTAATCGTTTCTTCAGCAACGTATTTTTTGTTGTTCTATGTTATGTTCCTGGGTGTTATCCATGCTGTAGCACGAGCTATCTTTTATTCGCTTTATTGTTTGTTTTCTCATTGTGTGTATATGCCATAAATTTTTTATCCATTCTACTGTTCTATCGAATTCATTCTATTGTAGGATATTGGGGTGTTTACAGTATTATTGCCAGCAATGCTATGAACAGTTTGTGCATGCCTCCTGGAGTACACATGAAAGTTTTCTCAAGTTCACCGGTTCTCAACCTGTGGGTTGTGACCCCTTTGGCGGCCGAACGACCCTTTCACAGGGGTCGCCTAAGACCATCCTGCATATCAGATATTTACATTATGATTCATAACAGTAGCAACATTACAGTTATGAAGTAGCAACGAAAATAATTTTATGGCTGGGTCACAACATGAGGAACTGTATGTATTTAAAGGGCCAGAAGGTTGAGAACCACTGCTCTAGGGTATATACCAGGGAGTAGAATGATTGGGCCACAAGATACGTGAACCTTCAGCTTGACAATAACAAATTATTTTCCAAAATGACGGTATCAATTTATATGCTCCCTGCAGTATACAAGTGCACTTCCCAGTATTTCATATTGTTCATTTTTTTTTCATTTCTGCCAATCTGATGGGTCTGAAGTGATATTTCATTGGGATTTAAATTTTAATTTTCCTGACATTTGCACAGTTGGACTAAATAAAAAGGCCAAGATGGGAGAAGGGGATTCTACTTGGGGTGCTCACCTGCTCCAGCCGTTCAATGAGCTCTGCCGGAGTTAGGACCACCTCCTCACTGCCGCCATCAGAGTCCTGTCCCGGGAGACCCAGTTCCTCTGTCATCTTCCCCGGTACCTACTGAGAAGAAAAGAACCAATACTCTCCTAAGCGTTTTCCATTTATTTGCAAGAACAGGCAACTATGTATCTACAACTGGGCGTGCAGAGGCTCACTGGCAGTAGCTAGAGAATGCACTGGCTTTGCCTTCTCCATTCTTTGCCTCTTCCTTCACACCTTAGATCGGGTATCAGTTCCCCGAAGTGCTCCCACATACACCTGGAGCTGAGCGCCCAGCACACCATGCCATAGTTACTGTCTTCCCGGGGGACGCCCTCCCCGCAGGGGCTGTGCTCCGTTCGAATATGAATGACCCGTCCGCTCTGTGCCTGGCGCCTCTGAGTACCGAGGACACAGTGACCTGTGTCGTCCCTGAGCTTAAGGCGGGGCTTCACTCATAGCAGGCGCTTCAAACTGTTGGGAGAACGAATCAGGGTCTGGTTTCCTGCTGTCGCAAGGCCCAGCCGTATCAGACCAGTGATTAAAGGCTCAGGAAGGAGAGTGGTGGGGCCGAGAGGACACCCCAGGAGCCTCAGGGAAACTGAGGGCATATTCCCCTCATTCCTCTCCTCTCCGAGCTCAGAGTCACCTCCTCCTCCAACACACACACACACACACACACACACACACACACACACACACACACACAGAGAGGTCCCCTCGGACGCTCACCTGGGCCCTTGGGAGGCAGCCGGCGGCCAGGACGGGAAGCCCCTGGGGAAGCACCCCCGTGGGGCAGCACCCCGGCTTTCCCCAGGAGCACCTGGCAGCGGAGAAACCTTTCCTACGTCTTCCCGAGGCCTTCCGGACCCTGCACTTCTCCGTTCCCGCGCTCCTCTTAGAAACGTTCCGCCCGGGCAAACGTCACCGCGCACGGGCGGCGCTGACCAATCGCTGACCCGGCGTCCCGGTGGCCCCGCCCACGGGGTGAGGCTGTGCGTCTGGGGCGTGTCCCAACCTCACGTGGACGCGGCAGGCTGGTCCGGCTTAGCCCCGCCCACCTCGGCCGGCAGCACTTCTGTGTATCCCGGGTGGCACCACCTGGTGATGGTCGGCAGGGGGCGCTCACCACCGCGGGTAAGGAGACACGGTGGTGTCTGCCTTCCACGCCCGCTCAACCCCCTCACCTCTGGTGGCGGTTTGAACAGGGAACTGGGCCTGTTAAAATCAGGCCACTTCACCTCTTGGGTCATCCTCTCCACCCACTGCTCTTGGGTCCCTTTGGTTCCTTCGTCTGCCGGGGCTTCAGCTATGGCCACTACTTTCAGAACTAAAAGCCTTTGGTTCTTAAAGCGCAGCACCAGCCCACCAGCAAGAGCATTGGGAACCTGTGAGGAGTGCAGATTCTCAGGCTTCGCCCAGACCTGAGAAGGGTGGGCACCAGTTTGTAAGATAGAGAGCGATGTCCAAGGAGCCCAGCAGCCCTAGCTGTTCTGTCCCCCAGGTGTCTGAGTTCAAGGAGCCTTTAGACCAGCGGTTCTCAACCTGTGGGTCGAACGACCCTTTCACAGGAGTCGTCAAAGACCATCCGAAAACACATATATAATTACATATTGTTTTTGTGATTAATCACTATGCTTTAATTATGTTCAATTTGTAACAATGAAAATACATCCCGCATATCAGATATTTACATTACGATTCATAACAGTAGCAACATTACAGTGATGAAGTAGCAACGAAAATAATTTTGTGGTTGGGGGTCACCACAACATGAGGAACTGTATTAAAGGGTCGCGGCATTTGGAAGGTTGAGAACCACTGCTTTAGACGATTCTAACTCAGGTTCTGAGTTATCCCAGCTAACTTGGAGGAAGTAGAGCTGTCCCTGCAGAATTCTACCCAGACTGCAGATTTGTGAGGAAAATATTGTTTGAAGCCCCTAAGTTTTGGGGTGCTTTGTTCTGCAGCATTAGGTAGCTGGAACATTAGACCACTGGGCTATGTTTGAGCACAGTCCCGTTCTTCCATAGTTCTCACTACCTAGCTTGCCAATGGTCTTTATTAGTATTCCTTAAGGGGTTTAGATTTGAGTCCAAGTACCAATAATTTCTCCTAGTTTACTTACTCAGAGACTTCCCTTGCTAACTGCCTTCTCCAGCCTCCCACTGCAACTCTCTCGGGGAGGTGGAGCCCAGCTTCTGCTTGCTTACTTCACAGAGGTGTGACCTTAAACAAGTCACTTCTCGGGGCTTCAGTTGCACTGCCTGGTAAGTGAGAACATGTGTCTTCCTGAAGGCAAAGGGATAGATCAAAAATTGGGGGGAAGAGAGCTTTCGCTTCTAAGATCTTTGATTTCAACTAACACTCATCAGACACAACCACTTCAGAGTAAAATGAGTTTGCAGAGAAAGAGTTCTGCTATGTAAAGAAGGAGGCCTTCAGGAGACATCCAGAAAGAATACATCGAGCTTCCTGGGGAAGCCGCACAAACTTGTAGTGAAACTATTGGGCAAATGGCACTATAAAGTTCAGAAAGGTGGTGGTGGTGACGGGGAACTAGGTTGTAAGTTACATTATGTAGAATGAAGAGAAAAATCAGGAACACCTGACGGATGTGCACCCACCGGTCAAGACGTTTTAAAAATAATTACACAACCATACAAGTGGAATGACATTCATTAAAATAGTCCCATAAAAAAGAGAAGTCCATACATCATGATAGCAGGATGATGAAGTTCAATGGTGATAAATGAAACTGCAGGACAGCATTTGCAGGCAAGTTGTGATGATTAAAAGAGCAAAGTGAACCTGCTAACATGGATTCAGACAAGTAAAATGTGAAGCTACAAACATAGGGAAAGGAAAGTTACCGCTCCAAGTTGAAGAGGACATAGAAAGTAGGACCCTATGCATTTGAAGAAAGTGAAAAGACAGTGCAATCCTATCTAATAAAAGAGTAATATGCGAATTAACTGTCACTTTGCAATAAAGATGGCAGCACCCACAGCCAATACAGAGGGAATACACAAATTGATGTGACAAAGATGGAGGCGCCTGCCAGAGCCATGGAGCCGACTGGAAAGGCTTAGCTTCCTGGGTCGCTGGGGCCAAGCCAAGCCTGGCCAGAGAGCAGGAGAGCGGGCAGGAAGGCTTGGCATCCTGGGTTGCCCCAGCAACCCAGGAATGGGGCTAGGGGTGATCAGACCAGGAGGGGAGGGCAATTGGCGGTAGTCAGGCTGGCGGTGGGGGAAGTTGGGGGTGAGCAGGCAAGCAAGGGGGGGGCAGTTGGGGGTGAGAAGGCTGTTGGGGGGGCAGTTGGGGGCAAGCAGGCTGGCAGGCAGGTGAGCTGTCAGGAGCCAGCAGTCCGAGATTGTGAGGGATGTCCGACTGCCACAGGGATCGGGCCTAAACCGGCAGTCGGACATCCCCCAAGGGGTCCCAGATTGGTGAGGGTGCAGGCTGGGCTGAGGGACACCCTTCCCCCCGGCCCCCACACACAAATTTTGTGCACTGGGCCACTAGTTTCCAGATATTGCTCAATGAAGAAATTAATTGCAGTTAAAGACACAGCAAATAGAAACAGCCAAAATATTTGTGGATAGCTATGGAAATATACATTAATAAGAATGAACCTAATTATTTTCCATCACCAAGGAGGAAAGATAAACTATACATAACCATACAAAATGGCGAGCCTTTTTGCAGAAAGATGCTTTTGAAATACAAGGTAATATCATCATTATTGCTTTCATATCATCACTGCCCTTGCTCATTTGGTCAACAGCTGTTTCTCACTGTTCCCTTCCTTTGAATTTCATCACATTTTTGGTCTCACTATCCTGAAACCAAAGCATTAAGTTTTAGGGAGTATACACTTAAGCAAAGTTTAACCCCCAGTTGTTCTGAATAAATGAAAATTTGGACTAAAGACTGGAAAGTAAGAGGGCAGTTTGGATTTTTATAGAAGGCAGAAAAGTACTCTTAGAACATTTCCTTTTAGCCTCACAAGGAAAACTATTGCCTAATGAATTTGCAAGTATTTTTCTGGCCAGTGGTAAAACCTCATACTTGCTTGTGTGGCCGGATGCTGAAAAACTCAGCAGGCCAGGGACAGACTTGGATCTCTCTGACAAATGTAAGATCTGGGCAATTCATGATATTCCTAATTCCTTTTCCCTTCAAACTTTAGCTCCTCATCCTTTTCTCAAACCCCATCTTGAGTTCAAGCACATTAAATTAACCCACACATGTCCCCAATGCAGATGTAAACTTCTCAGATCTAAGTTTTGCTATCACAGTTCCAGGTTTTAACAGGTAAAAGTGAATCGCGTGCATTTGTCATATTGTTTAACTTAAAAAAGCATGTCCAAAGCTTTAATGTTATGTTCTCTGTTTTTTCTACTCACTTTCTTGAAGGAGCATGGATGACTCTCCTTCCCTTAGTTTGGTCTTAATGTGCTCCTAGTTTCAGGCACAGACACGGAAACCCTACCTCCACCTCTGTACTGTGTCTCATCTGCTCATGGTAAATAGGCGGTTAATAGGAGGATGCGTTTTTTTTCTCGTTATCATGACTACAGAATCCGTATTGGAAATAACTAAAAAGAGTCAGCTTGCTATGATGGGGTACTTACATCTCCTGAAAAGAAAACTGACCCAGACAGCTGGCTTCAAATTCAGTTCTAAGAAAGGCTTCCCAAGCCTGGGCAAAGACCTGGAGATGCCATCTCTCCTCGTGGCCTTAACTTTGCCAATAAGGTTGCAGGGGCATTGGTACCTGTCAAAGGCTGCCACCTCCTTAAGCAAAGATAGTACCTTCTCATTCCAGCCCGGCTGTTATATACTCTGACATTTTCCTTGGCAGACATACACAGAACCCCTGGAGGCTGGCACCTCGTCGCCCTCAGGCTTGGACAGCTGCAGTGAAGGGAAGGAGGATGGAGTAGGTTCCCTTGAGAGAAGTACTAGTAGGGTGGGCATCAGGTGCTGTGTGATTTTAGGGACTGAAACAGCGCTGCTGATTTTCTTGTAGCACAGGGTTTCCTCCCTTACACGCTGCTCCAGTCGTGTCCAACTACTTAAGGATGTGAGGTATTTTGTCTCCTTTCTTTGCACATGCTGTTCCTCTTTTCAGGCTTCTCTCTTTCCCTTTAGCCGCCCGATGAGCTCCCATGCATCCTTTAAGACTCAGCGAAGTAACTCTTCCCCTGGGAAACTGTCCCTAACATGCTACCCATTATTTAGGCCACCAGTATACCCTCTACTGTTCTGATGTAACATTTATCATATATGGCAGTTTTAACATGTCTGTTTCTCCTATTAGGTTGTGAGTTTCCCGAAGTGTCCCCCAAATCTATCTGAGTGCCTATCGCTCATGCACACATTGATTTCTTTCTCTTTTTTTCCTTTAAAAATATGTATTGAGTATGTTTTCTATGAGCTAAATCCTGTGTTAGGTGCTAGAAATAGACATGAATAGACATAGTTTCTATCTCAAGAACTTATAGTGCAGTGAGGGAGAGACAAGCAAAAACACTAATAATCACACATTGATTTCTTCATTCAACAAATACTTCTTGAGTACCTAGTGATATTTGAGTATCTAGCGCCAGACCCTGTGTAGGTGCTAAAGATAAAGCAGTGAATAGGGCACACAGACCTTGTGATGGGAGATGGACAATAAACAAATACCAATTATTTGTCAGGTGGTGGTAAATAAAGCTGTATAGCAGAGTGTTGAGGTTGAGAGGGCATTTAAATGGCTGGGGCAGGCATCTGTCTTAGTCCCTTTGTACTGCTATAACCAAGTACCATAGATTAGGTGACTTATAAACAACAGAAAATTTTTTTTCAAATATATGTTTTATTGATTTCAGAGCAAAAGGGAGAGGGAGAGATAGAAACATCA